CCCACCATACTCTTTACCCAACGCATCACGCACGATGACTTCCTTACCTTATCACTCCATTCTCAACCCCTCTATGCCTCCTCTCCCAAATACTGCTCTTCTCCCCTGCCCTCACTCCTAGACCTTCTGACTGGGAAAGCTCTGCGCTTGGCGATGTGAGCGGGCAGTTCTGGGTCTGGTGTCTGCTGTCCCCAAGCGGTCCTTCTGGGTACTGCCAGAATGAGAGGTGGGAGAGGAGGACCAGCCATCACTGATTGGGAGGATCAGTTTGGTGAAGACACCCGGTACAGCAGGTGGAGCAGGAAGGGGAGCATTAAGACCCAGGAGTAGTGGAGGACTGCAGCATCGAGCTGGAAGAAGAGAAGTAGGCGGTGGCGGGTGGGGCGGGAGCCTTTTGGTACCTTGGTAGCATCTGAAACAGCATCAGCCATAACGACAGAAATGGCCAGTCAATCCCAGGGTATCCAGCAGCTCCTGCAAGCGGAGAAACGCGCAGCTGAGAAGGTGGCAGATGCCAGAAAGAGTGAGTCTCCTCCTCCCTCCCTTAGGAATCTGGAAAGAAAATTGCGGGTGGGTGGACTGCAAACATTTGAGTCCCTAGGAAAATCCAAGACCTGTGGGGAGAGAGCTGGGACCTGGGGTGGCTGATTAGGAGAGAAGAAATGGCTGGTGTTAAAATCTAGCACCTGGTTAGCTGAGAGAAGGCAGGATAACTTTCTAGAAATGACTGACCCCTACTATCACCTTTTGTGCGGGTTACCCCCATCCCCTGTCCTTTTTTTTGCCTCCAGGGAAGGCCCGGCGTCTGAAGCAGGCAAAGGAGGAGGCACAGATGGAAGTGGAGCAATACCGCAGAGAGCGAGAACAAGAATTCCAGAGCAAGCAGCAGGCAGTGAGTGGTGGGAGAGTTGGGATGGCACGCCGGGGTGCAAATGGATGGGTGCATCTGTCGAGGTGTGTATAGGGTGATTCTACAAGAAAATAAAATGGTAAAGGACAGAGGGGGATCCTGGTGAGAACAATGACATTGGTCAACTTTGTGATATGTAAGAGAGTCTGGATGTTTTGAAGGACTTGTACAGCTTGTGGGGAATTGCCACAGTCTGTATGGAGTATGTTGACATTTGGGGTGGAGGGTAGAGTTCAATGGTCTTGGGTGGTGAGATGGTAGGGATTGTATAATATGTTTTAGGATGAAGTTGAATGTCAGGTCTTAGAGTAAAGGGGCTTATGTTGCTCTCTTTGGTGTCTGAATGTTTCTGTGATATGGGGTTGGTTTTGGAGAAGGCCTTTCTTCCTGGCCTTACTCCAGGATCTGTCCCTCTACATGCCTGGATCCTTCTTTTTGTTTCTTCCTTTCTTTCTTTTACCTTTTCTCAACTCCCCCCCGCCCCACCCTACCCAGGCCATGGGCTCCCAGGGGAACCTGTCTACCGAAGTGGAGCAGGCTACAAGGCGCCAGGTGCAGGGCATGCAGAGCTCCCAGCAGAAAAACCGCGAACGCATCCTGGCTCAGCTTCTTGGTATGGTCTGTGATGTCAGGCCCCAGGTCCACCCTAACTACCGGATTGCTGCCTAGGACCCAACCTAGGGCTGACTCCTCCTGCCAGTTCCCTCCCTCAAAGAAATCCCCAAATCAAAATCACTTCCACTGTAATCCTACTCTCTTTTCCATTTCCCAGAAATTCTAGGAGGCTGGACCTGATAATTCTTCTTCTTATAAGTATCTTGCTCAGACCTGAATCTCCTTATTATTCTTTAACGGTACCTTGTAGACTCCCAAGTCACCCCTGCCCAACTTCTCTATGAAATTTGCAGCATGGAGAATTAGAGATGTAAAAAACATCCTGATTCCAGAGCCTGGCAGATTAGACTCCCTCTCCTGACCCTGCCATTTGTTGGCTGTGCGACCAGGACAAGCTGTAGCCTCATTGTCCTCCTCTGTGAGACTGGAATAATAATATCTACCTTTTAGGGTTGTTGCAGTGATTAGGAATTAATTATTTTGTAAAGAGCCTAGCATGGTGTCTGGCACGTAGTAGCTGTGATTCAATTAATGGTAACCCTGTGATATTATTACCACTCCCTGCCCACCTGCCAAAACCTAAACACAGCTATTTCTTCACTTTTGTCTATGGCTCTCTAATTCTGCTCATTCATTCTGTGACCCTAATAATTCTCTGAAGAATTGCTTCTTCCCACTTCTCTTTCCCCAGAGACCTTATGATCCCTGAAAAGATGACATGTTCCTATATAGTCCCTTTCTGTGGTTCCAGGAAGATGTTGCATTTCTTAGTCTCTCTAAGTTAGTATTTCTCTTTATTGGATTTCTCCTTTTTCTTATTCACCCAAAGACCTATCTGATGGTCGCTGCTTCCTGAGATCTGAAGTGATGCTATGTCCTCTCGTATGCATGGACTTCTTTTGTAACAATAAAAAAGTGTCAATAAAATAACTATGGGCAAATCAATTGATGGGTGGAAGCAACCTCCTTTTGCTTCCTCATTTCTTTTACAGTCACTCTTGTGTCTTGTTTACATATTACCCAAACACCCCAAAGGACTGCCCTTTGAAACTTGTTGGAGAAATAGCAAATAATATGTTATTATTTCTCTAAAGTGAGAAACATATGTGATTCCTTGTTTGGGAACTTGAGGACTATAGATGGCAACTGTAGAGAAAAAAGCTGGAGTGTAGGAACAAGCACTCTGTCCCTTAACCTTTGTTAACCAAAGAAGAGGCTCATTCTGTATGAAGGTATTTCTTTGAGCCAAAAGGCTGCAATCCCATTCTGATAGATGCAGATTCAGGTAACAACTCCAACTGCTCTCAGAGAACAAAGAAAGGCAGGTTTTATAGAGGTAAAAAACATGCGAATGAAAAATTGCTGGCTAGGTTAATGGATTAGTTAGTTCCAACATGTAAATGAGAGAGGTGAAAACTACTGGAAGGAGGTAAGGTCCAACTATCAATGCAGCAGTTGTTCCAGGATGTTTATAACTCCACCTTGAACTGAGTTTAGCAATTTAATAGCAGCTCTGAGAACTGAGGCACTCGATGGACACTTTCTCAATGGCCACTGACTCTGTTGTGGCGACCGGCTCTATTTTAACTCTCAGCAATGCTTATACCAATTTATTTTCTCCATTATCACCTTGCTTTATTTGTCTAATAACACTTATTACTACTTGACATATTTATGTTTGTGTGTTGTCTCTCTTGTTAATTCTGTGATGACAGGGCAGTTCACTGGTGTGTCCCTAGATCCTAGGATGATAGCACTTGGACAGGGTAGGGAGGATAAATACTGTTGAATAAATCAATACTTAGGGTCGGCAAAACTGCCCTTCTATGACACCATCCTTGGATCACTTACTGTATTTCTCTTGGCCACAGAAAACAAGCCTGCTTCCCCAAGAACTTGAACAAACGAGGTAATCCGAAGGGCATTTATTAACCAAATTCTTTAAGATGGGAGGCAAGATACAATAGATAATTAGAGGTGTTTACATTCTGGCTTTCACCTCACTAACTGCATTACTTTGAACATGCTGCTTTATTCTCTAAGTCTGTGCTTGTCTATTGAATGGGAATAATGGTACCCACTCCTTAGTATTAAATGGTTAAGTGTAATAACAGGTAAAAGGCCAAACGTTTTTGTCATTTTTGTTAAGCAGCAGACATCAAATCTGACTTCTATAGCATATCAAAGACAGGGGTATCAAATCTTTTATTCAGGAAAAAAAATCCTGGTTGAACAATGGGGCTGTTGGGACCGGGGCTAAGAACATTCTGGTCACATTAACAAAATTTATGGAATGTCGCATAACCCTCAAGCCCTATCATTTAACACTTAGGGAAGAATCTAGACCCCATCTTCCACTTAGTGGATTCAGAACACGTTGACTTGCATGCCCATCATCTTAGGACCCTTGGGGAATCTGATACATCGGCCATCATTATTTTTGGGCAAATGCCAGTTCCTGGTCCTCACGGTTAGGGAAAGGGTAAAGGTACGGCCTCTCCCAACCCCCGGAACCAATCACTCCCTCCCCTCAACTGGGGCCTGACGATCCCTAGCACCAGCGCGGCCGCCTCCAGGTAACCTTGACTACTGGGCCAAGGACCCCGTGGGAACTCGCAGTGCCCGCCAGCCCTGTCCTTCGCTGCAGAGAGGTGCCGAGAAAGATGACCTGCGTGGCGAGAACCTAAACGAAGAGGCGAGGGACGTGGAAAAGAGCAAGATAAGAGAAAAAGGTATCAGTGGGAGTGGATGCTAGTTTCTTTTATGCCTGTTTTTACCGACAATAGCAGAGGAGTTAGAAGTGGCTTTAAAAAAAAATTCCAGGCAGGCATTCTCTAGAGGCAACCCCAGAGCGCGCGGAACTACGGAACCGTGGAAGGGCCTTCTTCCGTCCCTCGCGCTTGCGCGCTGGCAGCCGAGAAGGCAGAGGCCCGGGTAGAGGGAAGCTGGGACCGGAAGTGAAGTCGGACTCCCTTCTTCGTCTCTCTTTCCGCCGCCATATGCGTTCTCCTTGTTCAGGTGAGGTCTGGTTTTCAGTACTATCCATTTACATCTGCGTTTCTCTGCAGCTATCCTATCGCATGAGCTCCTGATACCCCTTTTACAGGGTATAGTCTGGTCGCTGGGGCCTAGTTCTGTCGTTAGTTTCATTAATTGCACCCCTTTCGAGACCAAAGAGCTCTTGGGCGGAGGTAGGGAATTTAGAGGGGCCCAATACAAGATGGTGGCCTCGGCGCCATTGTGTTTCCTTTGCTTTTGGTTCCTCCGGTGAGCCCCTCGTTTGCTGGAAGCTCTAGCGATGATGAGAGGCGGCGCTAGGACGTCCTCTGGTCCTGGGCATTTGTAGAGGTCGGGCTTCTTCACCTTTCTTTTCCGTTGGGTCCTGGTAGGAATAGGAGGAGCTGGCTTCTGGGCCTGGTTGGACTTATCTTACCTCTCTTTGCCTACGTTTATTTGGAGCGGTTTCCAAATGTTTTTGAGTGATGTCATTGTGCGAGTTTCACCGAGGAGTAATGTAACAGTGATGTGAGGCCGCTTGGTAAAAGTTCTGCTAAAGCTGGAGCGGTCTTCCTAGTTATTATGTTATTCATCGTATAATAGAGAGATGAATACTTTTTCCGACTGAGCCATTTCTTTTATTCTCCTGCTGTCCACTTATTACACAGGGATTTCTTAAGCCCCAGAAGGAGGTTACTGAGGAGTGAGGGGGAGGCTGGTGAGCTGTGAGGAGTGAATGGCAGCCACATGATGTTTTCATTTTGAGAAGTGAGCGGTGTGCAGTGATGACCTTAATCTATCACCCTTGACTGATGGCTGCTGTGTTAGGGGTTGACACCTTGAGATTATAGGGAAAGCAGAAAGTCTTCTTTGAGAATTTTTCAGGACTTCTCTTCATCTCTATTCTCCACTTCTAAGTCATTATTTATATTCTGCTTGTTATCTGTTGTTGTTTTTTTTTTTTTCGCTATTAGTATTTACAGAACAGTAATTTATGAATTGATCTTCCTCTTTGAAGATTTCTCCTCCGAACCTAATCTTGTTGTGAACCTGTGACCTAACTACCTCCCCTGGAACCGTCTTTCCCGTTCCCTGTATTATGTTTGCTTTTATGTTTTGTGTTTTTTGTTATATTTATTGCCAGGTAAAAGATTCATAGTTTAGGGAAAGTGGGAAGGGTGTGGGATGGAAAAGAGGTGGTGAAGCCTTTTCGAATGACTGATAAGACTTTTTTTCTGTTTTTTTTTTTTTAACCCCCCCCCCCCCCCCTCCCCAGTTCTTTTGTGGGAAACTACTGTATCTCTATTCCTAAAGCCTCCACTTTCCTTGTTTTCACTTATTCTGCGTGAACCCAACCAGAGACCCCTCCCCTTCTCCCTTTGCCGGCCCAGTTATGGCAGAGAACGATGTGGACAATGAGCTCTTGGACTATGAAGATGATGAAGTGGAGACAGCAGCTGGGGGAGATGGGACTGAGGCTACTGCCAAGAAGGACGTTAAGGGCTCCTACGTCTCTATCCATAGCTCTGGCTTTCGTGACTTCCTGCTCAAGCCAGAGTTGCTCCGGGCTATTGTTGACTGTGGCTTTGAGCATCCATCTGAAGGTAAATTTTCTTGGGCAGAGAGTACTCATTAGGTGCTTAAAGATACTAGAAACAGATGTGTTCATGGTTTTTCAGTGATACAGATTTATATTTAGGGTAGACCGGGAAATAAGTTCTGGAAATACTAAAAGTTATTTTTAGTGATAGAAGAGGTTAATACAGGTTGGTCTTTTTTTCATGGTAGCAGGAAAGTGCTGGTGATCCAAAAGCAACTTAAGAGGTCTGCTATTTGTTCTTGTGACTGGTTTTTCTCCTTGTCTTCTAGTTTTTAGTTTTGTCACTTTGACCTGTAATTTTAAATTTGTGGAGTGGAGCTGGTTGCACGTCTAGTTCTCTTTCAGGCCAGGACAACTCTGGTCTCTGGAAACCGTTATTACTGGCTGGATTCTGAGTCAGACCAAGTTCTTCATTTAGTTCAAGGTTGTAGGGTTACATGTAAGAGAAATGGCCTGTCGTAGGTATTATGTGTCATGGATTATTAAGGACAATAAGGACAGAGCCAGGAGTACCAAAGATGAGCTATTGGTAGGTGCAAATGGATTGTTGGGTTGGGGTGGGGTTGGAGTAGGAGTAGGAGGAGGCTAAAGCTAGAAGGAGCTAGGAGGGTCTGATTAGAAGGTGAATTTGATTGAGGGAGCAGGGAAGTAGGAAAGGTCTAGAAGTTGACAAGAACCACTTAAGAGTTGAGTGGTGGGAAATGGGTTTGGCATGGTGAAAAACGTTACCTGGGGATAACCTTAAACCGAAGCCTAATTTATCTTTTTACTCCCGTACTTTTAGTCCAGCATGAGTGCATCCCTCAGGCCATTCTGGGAATGGATGTTCTGTGCCAGGCCAAGTCAGGCATGGGAAAGACAGCAGTGTTTGTGCTGGCCACACTGCAACAGCTGGAGCCAGTTACTGGGCAGGTACAGTTGGGGAGAATACTGGGGAGGGCATTTTGGTTGGAATGTTTAGGCAGGGTGCTTCAGCTACATGATATGTTCAGAGCCGTGAATACTTGTTGTTAAGATGGCCTCTGTCACCCGAAATTGAAGGCCACGGGAATATTTTGTAGTAATCATGGGGTTAATGATTTAGATCTCAGAATCGAAGTTATTTATCATCTGCCTGGTGACAGTTACTTACCCAGAGGGGATAGTGAAGGGAAATATTGACTGTTTTCATCTGTTTCCCTCCCAAGGTGTCTGTTCTGGTGATGTGTCACACTCGGGAGTTGGCTTTTCAGATTAGCAAAGAGTATGAGCGCTTCTCTAAATACATGCCCAATGTCAAGGTAAGCCAGGGTAAAGAGACCTGGGAGAGTAAGGGTGTGGGGTGTTGGATGCATTGGAGACTTGTAGA